AAGAGCAGGCATAAGAATCAAAGACCCACTCTAAAAGGTTGATTCCTACTTTTAACAGCTCTCTGAACTCAATAGCTGGTGCTGCTTACTTTTTCTTATTTGCTGATACTGCATCTTTTCTTTATTCATGTGGTAAAATGTTGTGGGATATTATTTTAACTCTGTAAACGTGTGCTACATTTGTTTCTGCTGTTTTTGTTAATAATACGTGTTACATTGTTTAATTAAATAAAACTAACCTGAGAGTCAGGAGGCTGTCAATAACTAGCTGACAGGAAGTGGTAGGGAGGAACTTACTGTAGTGAGGGTTCTTGGGGAAGATATGCTGAGCAGGACAGCTCTTTTTTTTTTGGGAGAGGCAGGCAATAGGAGAAGGTTAGCTATTTGCTGTTCAGTTTCTCTGAGCTAGCAGGATTTCACCTCAACCTTTGAATTCTGAGTTCTATAGAAGAACAGAGATTTAGCAGTGCCTGAGGGAACAGAATTCCTGCCTGGCTGCACCTGTGTGGCCAAACCACTGCTGGTAGCTTCGGAGTTGCAATTGCCAGTTGGGACAGTAGTTTCTTAAGGTGTGGCCACTGTATTGAATGCAAAACAACAGTAAAGCACTAGCTTTTCCATTCACTACATAGCCCCCAACTGCAGAAGACAGACTCACTCATAGGATACACGAGATAATACATGCTTAGAAACCCAACTCAATATCCACTAACATTCCCTCACACCCCAAGGAGAGATTAGCAAACTTTGGGTGGCCAGCCAATAGTTAAGGTCTCCAGAGAGGATGTTTAGGAAGCAACCATCCATTTTGAAGAGGCCCGTGGCAAGTTCCTCTTAGCCTTTGGAGATGACACTAGCATGAGCCATCGTCCAGGCTCTAGACAGATAACCAAACCTTTCTTTGCCTTCCAGAGGTCAGAGTTAGGTTACTGACTATGCCTCTCCATGAGAAGACTGTGGAAGCCCCTTAACAGGCCAGACTTGGGTGAGTTATCTACACTACCTGATGAGCTATATGCACAAGGACTCTACTCTCAAAACTAGTGGACCTATTTGAAAACAGCCACAGTTTGTACTTGACCTGAGAAATGTAGATGAGACTTCAGAGAAGAGCTCTTCCTGGGCTTTTTCACAGCCCTGTGAGGATAACTTATTTTTAATAAGCTCCACTTAGTGAAAAATTAGAAGAGAAGTAAGAATACTGAGGATGGCACTGGCTATATCCCTAAGTATCCAAATTGATAATTAACTGCAGTGCCAAGGATGCTGTTACTTCCGACTTCTGAGTTCCTCCATCCAGTCAAAATGAAAGGAAAAAAAAATTTCAGATGAGAAGTTATGCTGGCACTAGAAAACTCAATAAAGTCTTCAAATATAAAAGAGGGGTCCAGAGGCTAACTATGACAACAGGTGGCAATGAAAGGAACTTACTAATTCCTAGCTAAAAGTACCAAGGGGACAGGTCAGCCTCTCTAAGTGGAACCTCTGTCAAGGTGTATTTAGAGCTTTTGAACTGTTCATACAAGAGCCAGACTCTATTTCCATTCTAATAAACAGCTCTTAGTGTGGGCCCAGTAAGAAGGAACGAAATGCACAACCAGAATGAAACTGGGCATCCACTGAGTTTTGTTTCCCACCCCTCCCCTTCTTGTGGACTAGATGCACCTAATAGAACACATGGCTGGAAAATTCCACCAGCTCCTCAGCTCAGCCTGACCCTGCTCTGCCTCACTAACTCTTCAGACAGGTCTCATGGCTGCTGCCACCTCATCTTTTCCAGATGTGGTGCAGCCCCGGTCCTGTATTTGCAGACTTTGGTCATCATTGCTTTCCAAATGCTTCTACCTGCTGGGCAAAGTAGCCCCCACAGCCAAAGTTTATTCCTCAGCTGTAGAGTGACAACTCCTGTCTTTCCATTCCTAGGCCAACCCTTCCTTGTGAGCTCCAGATCTAGATACCTATCTCTCCTGAAATATCTTGACATGTGTATCTATTAAACTTCCCCAGTGAATGCTGAAGAAGCTGGGACTATGAAATCAAACTCTTGATCCTCTCTCAGCAATCCTTAGCCTTGCTTCATTCTCCCAGTTTCTTGGAAGCTGTGGTGGCTAATATTGTCAGTTTGACTGATTTATAATCATGAAGAGATAAGCAGGCCTATGAGGAGCAAACTAGATGAGGTTTGCTGAAGTGAGAAGACTTACCCTAATATGAATGGCACCATTCATATCCTCCAACTTGAAGGAAGGAAGGAAGGAAGGAAGGAAGGAAGGAAGGAAGGAAGGAAGGAAGGAAGGAAGAAGAGGGGAGGGACTGGAAAGATGGCTCAGAGGTTAGGAGCACTGGCTGTTATTCCAGAAAACCTTAGTTAAATTTTGAGTATCTACCATAAGGCTGTTCACAGGGGTCTGTAACTCCAGTCTCAGGGGATCCAACACTGTCTCTAGCCTCCAAAAGTACCAGGCATGTACATGGTATACAAATATTCATGCAGGCAAAACACACACACACACACACACACACACACACACACACACACACACACACGCTTAAAAAGTAAGCAAGCCATTTTAGACATTTTTTAGGAGGAGGAGGAAGAAGCAGAGGCAACGGGAACCTGTATTCATCACTCTCTGCCTTCCTGACACCAAGGCTTTCCTGCCATGATGAACCAAAACAAATCCTTGCTTCCTTAAGCTGCTTTTGTCAGTTAATTCTGTTCTCCCTAAGAGACTAACAGAGAAACCAGCCTCAAAAATTCTTTATCATCTCAAGTCCATTAGGGAACTCTGGAAATTGCCTCCCTAATCCTGAGATCTTTAAGCCCATTCTGTTGTCTTCCTCCTATATCTGTAAGCATGAGCTTCAAGTGCACACTTCTTAAGACTATTCTATCAATTTGACCCAAATGTCTAGAACTCTACCTACCAAATGAAGGCAAGGATGTAATTCTATTACTAGACCCAAGGTAAATGATAAATGGGTGTTTATTGGGGAACAATTACACAGAAAAATTACAAAGAACCTCTGGAGCGTTTCCCTGCTCTTCCTACCGGATCCACTGTCCCACCAGAAAGAGGAAATGTGTCCTTGGGGTGCCAAGCCCAGAGTCAGTCAGTCTGTCTCTGTCTCTGTTTCTCTCTCTCCCTTCCTCATTCCCTCCCTCTCTCCCCCTTTCTTTCTCTCCCTCTTCCCTCCCTCCTTCTCTTTCAGGATATAGTTCTCAACTATGTTCCAGCACCTGCACGCATGCCGCCATGCCTCCCTTCCCACCATGATGATAATAGACTAAATCTCTGATACTGTAAGAAAACCCTCAGTTAGAAGGCCTGGGCCCTGCTCCAAATGGTAAGACAAACTTTAAAGATCCCACATGGAAGGCCTCACCCACCCTGGGGAGCAGAAAGGGGATGAGTTAGGGGGCTGATGGGGGGCAGGGGAGGAGGGGATGGAGAGGGAACTGGGATTGACATGTAAAACAAGCTTGTTTCTAATTTAAATTTTTAAAAAAGGAAAAAAATAAGCCCCCAGTTAAATGCTTTCTCTTATAAGAGTTGCCATGGTCGTGATGTTTCTTCACAGCAGTAGAACACTGACCAAGGCATAAAACCTCAGTTGATTTTTTGGTTTCATTTTGTTTTAAAGAGCCCTTGCTATTTAAAGATATATTGAAAACTTCACAGATGAAACAGTTTTGATAGCTGATATTTGCTATAATCCACTGCTGAGGGGAGGGTGGGAGTCTGGGCTGATCACTGTTGAAGTGAGGGGAAAAGCACATGAGAGCTCATTACATTATACAGCTGACTTTTACTTTTTTAATAGTCTGAAACTTTCCATAATAAGTTTAAAAAAAAAAAAAAAAAACACCAGGCCCCACTCTCAGAGTTGGGGTTTCAGCTCAGGCACTGGTAGTTTCTAAGGCTCCCAGGTGTTTTTAATCCTCAGTCATGGTTGAGAACTAGTGAAAGATGCCAGGGCCTGTGCCAGCACCAGGACTGGGGCAGAGGCTCAAGAGGTCAAGAAGCTGAGCACATGGTCCCAGAATATGGGGGAAGAATGAGGAGGAGGCAAGAGTTAAGGACGCTGCAAAGACTTCAGCTTCCAGTAAATGGAAAGCAAAGAACATTCTTGGGGCTGGGAGTTTGGGGGACCTGGGAGAATTTCCTTCACGTGTTGAGTATGCTGACTTGGAAGAGGTGGAAGGAACATCAGTGGAGACATCTACCCTAGCAGCTTGGCTTATAGGTCTAGAGACAACAGGAAACTCTGAAGACACATAAAAACCTGAGCCCTGTGGGAAAGCATCCTGAATAGAGAGAGAGGCCATGTGAGTCTATAAGAAACAATTGCATCTTGGTTCTATCCTTGAGAGGAGATCCCAGATGGCCCCATTCCCTTCACATGAGTTCTCTATTGCTTTCCCCTACCACCTAGGGCTTTTAATCTCCATCCCTAGACAGAAATCCAAACGGTAGTATGTCTAGGCTATGAGCTTGTGGGGCCATGCCCATCCTGATCAAAGGCTGATGAACTCCTGAGTAATTTCAGAATGTCCCTAAAAGCTCATGTTTTTGTTAAACAAAAGAGACACAAAATAGCTGAAGGAAATCCTGGAAGCATCAGGCACAGCTACCTGACAGAGACAGTGAGGGCTGGCTTGAAACAGCCAACGAGCACTCACTGAACAAGAGTTTACTGATGATGCCTGTGTGTTCAGGGAGGTGAACAAGAAGCTCAAAGGCCAAAAGTTTGCATTCCCTGTGGAAATATACAGTAAACTGGTAAACAAAGATACTAACTGTGTATCTTATACCTGAAGCATTTCAGCTGGAGTAAAGGGAACAGCATTCAAGAGCTACCTCAACCTTCCCAGTTTCTCGTGCAACAAAAATTTAGATTCTTCAGGTTTCAAAACCATCAGGTCTATCTTTGTTTCCTCCTGACAAAAACCAGTTGCTGACTACAGAAGACCCAAGGGCCACTTGGCAGCAACTTACCACTAAGTCCAGAAACTGAATGTAGCATTCCAGCCCAGGCCTGGTTTCACAGAACTGTCGAAAAAGCAGTCTTCCGATTGGTTGCTTGTCACATAGACTGCAGTAATCTCTGTCTGGAGACAAGAAATGTGTGATGAGACCAGGAAGGTAGGAAAATCTTTTACTCTAAAATTGAGTCAAGAATCCTGGATAGATAAGGCAAGATAATAATGAACTTAGGCTACACACACACACACACACACACACACACACACACACACACACACACACACACACACACACACACACCTAGGACAGAGAATGATATGACAGCCACACCTGGCTGTTTACTTCTATATGAAAACACCAGTGTTTATAGCAATTACGGCTCCATTCCCTGTCTGGCAAAACAACATGAAATAGAACCCGATTCTGGTGACTGGGTGAAGGTGTCAGGCTCGTGGCCTAAGTCAACTCTCCTAGTACTCTTTCTTGCTCTGGAAGCCAGTGCCTACAGCAGTGTCCTTGACCTTGTGTGGAAAGCTGCTGTAATAATGAAACTGAACCAGGGAGATCAGAACTTAAAAAACGACAAGAAGTAGAGTTGGTCCCTGGTAATCTGAAAAACTGAAAATCTGAAAAACTTAGAGTAGTTTGAAAAAAAAATCCTATATTACTTATAGTTCAAAGCATCCTAGTGGATACAATTTTGCATTGGGTTTTTTGCTTTTTTGTTGTTGTTGTTGTCTTCTTATTCTTCCATTTTTACCCAATTGGAGCAAAGCCCACTTTTTGAATGCTTCAAATAAAAATTGCATTCCCCAGATGAACAGGCATAGAAACAGGAAGTGACTAGCCTTCAGCCACTCAGCCACCAAGAGGGTTCTGAAGAAGAACCAAGGTGAGCCACCCAACCCCAAGGCCAGGAGCTGGAGTGCAAGCACTGGATGTTTGTTACTTCAGTGGCTCACCCTACCCTCTCTCTGACCCTCTTTGTTTTCCCTCCTATGAAAAACAAAGGCATATTTGGGACTGGGACTAGGATTCTTTCCCAGCAATAACACTTAAGCTTCTTTCAGTTTTCCCTGGCCAGAGGGTGCTTCAGGAAATGACCACTGAGGCTTGCTGTCCCAGACACTCTGGCCTTCCAATCTGCAGCTGCCCCTCAAACTGATAGAGCTTGGAAGCAACTTGGCAGAAAGGAAGGGCTGAGTCCTTGGAAGTTGTGGAGAAGGGACAATCATTCACTAGCAAGGGGGACCTATTATTAGCTCGAATATAAGTTTTCTTTAGTCTATTCCATCTTTTCTTCTAAAGAACATCCTCTCAGCTGGGCAGTGGTAGTATACACCTTTAATCCCAGAACTTGTGTGGCAGAGACAGGCAGATCTCTGTGAGTTCAAGACCAGCCTGATCTATAAGAGCTAGTTCCAAAGCTACACAGGGAAACCCTGTCTCAGGAAAGAAAAATAATAAAAGAAGAAGAAGAACATCTTTTCTCCAGGTCTGAAAAAATCCTCAACAAACCTGGTTGAGGGGTGCTGGTACCTCCCAAGTTCTGAGGATGGTTTGTAACTCAGCCCTAGCATATCAGAGTCACCTGTCTTCCAGCCATAACAACAGATTCAAGAATGGGCAAATGCAGCCAGGAGGTGGTGGCACACCCTTAATTCCAGCTCTCATGAGGCAGAGGCAAGCAGATGTCTGTGAGTTCGAGGCCAGCCTGGTCTACAGCCAAGTTCCAAGACAGCCAGGGCCACACACAGAGAAACCCTGTCTACATGAATAATAAAAACCAAAGACAAAGCAAAGCAACCAGCCACTAGCTCTTACCTCTACCTCACACTGAAAGGGTGACCTGTCTCCAAGAATCCTTAGATTGAACCTGACTGCATCTGTCTCCTCCCTCTTTTTATTCCTCTCTAATGCTGCGATTAACGGCATGTCACCCCAAGTGCCTGTCCTCTATGTCTAAACAGTGGCTTAGCTCTGCATTCTGATCTTCAGGCAAGCTTTATTTGTTAGATTACAAACAAAATATCGAAAGGAAAGGGGGAGGGAGGGAGGGAGGGAGGGAAGGAGGGAACTACAAAGAGTAGACATACATTGCAGTTTTCATGAGCAAATGGCTCAAAAGCAGGGGCTATTTTGATAGGAACTCACAGGCTATAAATATATGTAGAAATCACTCACAAATGTGGCTTTCTATAAAGTGGGCACTTTGATCAATATGAATGAGCCCATGCCTAGCCATCCTCTTTGTGGCCCCTTCCCTGGTGCTTTAGTTCACACCATCACTGAACTCTTGCATTAACTCTGCCCTTCAATGTGGGCACAGGCAGTCCACAAATAGCCACTCCTTCTAGCATTTAGACTCAGTGTGTGCCAAATTCTCTCACCCCTCTACTTGGGTGAGAGAACAACATGGGTACATGTGGGTGAGCAGACATGATCCCAAGTGACAGTTATGAAATGGCATACTAGATGGGTGTGATTGTCAGCCACAGGAGGAACTCTGGACACTGTGGTTCATGCCAGGTCCACAGCCTGCACCTGTTAGCACAAGGGCCAGCCCACAGCCCACTGTTCACTGCCTCCAACTCAGCACCAACCCCCTTCTCCCCCCCCCACACACACACCCTGGGGAAGGAAAACAAACCTTCACACCTTCCCCCAGTCAAGTTTTCCCTGCAGAGCCCTGGAACCAGAGCAAATTACCATGCACCAACCTTTAGGGTTACTCAATTATGGAAAAGAACACAGTACCTCTTATTTGATTTGAACAAGGTAACCCCCTGTTTCCAAAAGCAATTATGAGATTCCATGTACCATATTGTGACTCCCTAAGAGTTCATCTGACAAGATTTCTTCCCCTACATATGGCATTTCCTGTCAGTATGGAAGTAGGGCTGATATGAACACAGGCACAGTAAGCATTATGTGATTCTGACATAAGCTGTCAGGACCACCCCTCCCCCAACCCCTTTCACTGAATCTTCCAACCATACAGGAGATCCAAAGCAAGAAAGCTACTTACTAGCTAGCTAGGAGAGGACAAAATAACCAGCTAATTTTCTCTCCAGGCTTTGTTCTCAGCCTCCAATAAGGATTATCTATTCTTATCCACAAAAACAAGTGGAACTGAGGTTCCTTTGGAATGGATAAGGCCATAGGAGGAAGAATACAGACAGGGTAATGGTCATGGTGACAAGAGGAAGTGCAAAGCAATGTTCCCAGTGTGAAGGGAAGATGGCTCTTGCAAAGTCTGATGATAATGAAGTTGTAGGCATGAGAAGGAACTGTGCTGGGTAGCCTTGGGGGTGGACCCTCTCTGATGTGTTATAGCAGTTGCTGGCTGTGCTATGCATAGTCAGGTTTGCAGGTTTTCAGTGTTGCCTGGGAAGAGGGCAGAAGCCTTTTCTCTCTGTCTCTCCAGCTGGAAAATCTGGAGAGAGGTACATGTAGGGAACATTCACACTGCATACACACACACACACACACACACACACACACACACACACACACACACACACGCACACACGCACGCACGCACGCACACACGCACACACTTATGAGACCTGAAATCTTGCTTTGGGTCTTGTGCATCACTGGCATGTCCCATCCAAAACTTTGTTCCTTTTCTTCCTTTATTCACCCATAAAACGCTCTTTCTCAGGCATCTTGCTTCTCTGTACTAGAAGATTCTTTTCATTTTAAAGATCACTTCTTGAATTGGGGGCAGAGTATGTGACCACTACAGGGTGCCACAGAGTAGACTTGAAGAAATGGCTTAAAGAAAGTGGAGGGTGCTTGTGGATAGGGACATGGAACAAAGGAACAAGCATCAAGTCATGTTGAGTACAAGGATGAATTTACTTGGGGAGAAATGTTTGTAACAGTCTCACTACCTATGTTCAAACACAGCACAGCAAGCCTCTTCCCTCTCCATCTTCCCAGGTCAGCCTGACATTTGCCAAGACATCAACCAACAGAGGGCGCAACAAGACTGCAGGCAGTGTTCTCCGGACCCCTAGCAATCAATACCTGAGTCCCTGACCTGGCTGGGCCTCTTACAATCCAAGGACAGTAATCATGGGTCTGAATTTCTAGGCCTTTCTAGGCCTCCATGTCTTCATCTACTAAATAAAGGCATCAGAATGACCAACTGCTGAGAATCCCTTCACAGACTGGAGTCTTCCTTGCCTGACAGCTTCACAAATGATTAAAGGTCTCCAGGCAGACTCCAAAGTCAACACTGAAACTCATTTTACCCAGTAAAATTTTGTCCATCTCTGGTGTTAATACCCAGTCTAGTGTCTGTCTCTTTCCCTGAATCTAAGGCAAAGGATGACAAAATTTTGTAAAGACCAGTAGTAAGCATTTTAACTTTTGAAAGCTATATGGTTTAGGCCACAGTGGTTCAACAATGGAATTGTAATGAAAGTCCCCCTGGCACTGTATGAACTGTCTATAGCATGACTGTGTCTAATAAAACTGTTTACAAAAGCAGGTGGAGGGCTACAATTTGATCACATGCTAATTCCTGTTTCTAAGCCCTTGGGCCTCCAACCCCTTTGAAATGTAATGTGATGCTGACCTGATTCTTCCAACATAGCTGCCTCCTTCCTAAAGCCAGGGAATGTCTGGTGTCTGGAAAACCTGAGGAGCTACTTAGTACTGAAAATGTGCATGTAACCTGAGCATATGGCCAACAGTAAAGGAAAGCAGGTCTGACGTCAAAAAAGTCAAGTCCATTCCAGGTGGAACCAAGACCCTTCAATGTCCAGTGACCCATGGAAAGAATATACATCAATAAACATGGGAAAAACCATGAGGTGCCACAATCCTACAATCAAATTCTACTTAACACTCAAGCCACACAGATAGACATTAGCAGCAAACACAGCATGGATGAACCCAAGGGGCCCTGTATGGGTCCAAGATCTGGAAGCAAACACACACACACACACACACACACACACATGCATGCCAGGCAGTGGTGGCACATGCCTTTAATCCTAGCACCAGAGAAGCAGAGGCAGGTAGATCTCTGTGAGTCTGTGGCCAGCCTGGTCTATAGAGTAAGTTCCAGGACAGCCAAGGCTGCTATACAGAGAAACCCTGTCTGAAAAAC